TCAGCTGTGCTGTGAATGTCTAAAAACACAATCACTTGATATTTTTTTTCTCCTCCTTTTCTACATTTGCTTTAGAATGAAACATTGATTTTTGAAATGCATGAAGTAAATTTTCCTAATTGTACCGAGCGTTGTAATCATCAGTCACTCTGTGTTTGACTGATAGTAATACATTGGTGTCATTATAGGGCTGTAGTCTTGGAGGGCACGGTACGATGTTGGAGAGCGACTATGACACTACTCCAAACCACTCTGAACTCGAGGAGACTGGGTAAGTAGGAACGTTGTGTGTTTAAATCGGATCTGGGTCCTTGAGAATGGAAAATTTAGAGATACTTTAAAGACAGATGCTACTAAAAAAATGTTCGGTGAGTTGTTTTTAAATGACACAGGGCTCCCTTTTAGGACCTAACGATTAACATGTCCAGACTATGTACTAAATTTAACCCCTAGAGTACTCATTAAATTTACCTTGCACCAGGACAATATAAATATAAAATCTTCTTCCGAGACTTGGTTCTAATTTCACTTTAAACTCGACCGTTAGGAGGAATTCAGTGTTTGTGTTTTTGCGTTTGCAGCAGCCCGGTAGCAGCTCCTGACTCAGTGGAACCGGGGGTGGAAGGTGAAGAAGACGCCACCCTGCCGTGCACCGAGGACGTCATCTGCAAGACGGAGCAGATCACCAAGAACATCCAGGAACTCCTGAGAGCTGCACAGGAGACTAAGCATGAAAGGTACAGCAAATCATGTGATGCCGTGATTTAAAATGAATTAAACCTGTTGAATGATGCATTTCTGCCTGACTTTAAGGAGTCGGCTATCTTTTAGATTTGTTCAAGCTGAAGGTTTCTCAGCTTCCTGGTCAGTGCCTTTCAGAAGCCGTGCTATGGGATTTGTATGCCACTTGTTTCACAACTAGCCTGTTAACTGATATATGCCGAGTTGTAAGCTAAACACAGTCACATGTTGAAGGAAACCAGACACATGCTAACGGCCTGGAATTACTGGTTTGGAGTCTGGTGGCCAGTTGGATGTGCCTTAACTGGCTCTGGCTGTTCTTGCAGCTGATGGAAAGCAATCACTCATTTTCATATTTTTTTCTTGCCTGTTGTCTGCAGACTCGATGTCTGCTCTTGTTTTCAGTCTAAACCTTTTCCTTTATCTTAGCTGTTTGCTCAGATTTGTCATGTAGCCTTCTGTAAATACATGGGAACTGTTTGATTCCAATAACTATTACAATAATTATAGATACACAAGTGAACCACTTTGTTTAGAGATCATGGGTTTTATGATATATGTGTTCTATTGACTGCCATCTAACTTCTCTTAACGCCGTATGAGTAGTGTCTCTAGTGAGATGCGGCAGCTCATTGAAAGTACTGGCATTGCTGTAAAGATAGAAACATGGTTTTTAAAATCACATTAACAAACATAAGGAGGAAAAATGGCTTTACTTTGAGAACCATGCTAAAAAAGCTACATTTATTTCAATGTCTCTACTCAGAATAGCTTTTAGAATCTGTTTATTCAGCATTTTGCCTCTTCCAGCTTTCTGCCGTGTTCTGAGAAGATCCGTATGGCCGTGACTGAGATGGCCGCCCTATTTCCCAAGGTATTCACTTCTTGAACAATCGGCAGATTTGTTGACGGGTCTTAAATATCCCCCCTTTTTGCTTTAGGAGCATTTTTATTCATCTTTTCGCCTTTTCCTCTCGACAGAGGCCGTCCTCGGAGACGGTGCGAAATTCTCTGTATCTGCTGACTTCGAGCGCGAGCCGACTTCACGGAGAGTGCCAGAAGGCGGCAGAGCACAATCCCTGCCCATCAGACATCCAGCTGGTCACTCAGCAGGTCATCCAGTGTGCCTATGACATTGCCAAAGCTGCCAAGCAACTCGTTACTGTCACAACCAAAGAAAACAACAACTAACCTAAACCCAAAGACACTCCTCAAGCACTCAATGCGCAATCCATCTGTTGCAGTGCTAGGCTTTCTTTTTAATCAGTGTTATATTTCTGTTTCCTCAACGGTAATAAGTCTAAGCATTCACACACATTCCTTGGGGTGGGAACGTCTTACCAAAGGATTCAGAATCATAAAGTCATCAAAAAATAACTTTTGTCTTTGTGCAGTGCATTTATGAAAAGACACATCCTTACCTCGCAGAGTTAAATCCCTCTGGTTTCCGAAAGTGCAACGTTGTGCGCTTATGGAACCGAACCAGAACAACAAGCAGCTCTAAAGAGTTTCTTTGTGTTTTTTCTCTTTCTCCTCAGTACTGTATTTGACATCTATTGTGGTTCTTGACGTCTGCGTTCTGGCTTGGTCCAAAAGATTCAGACCAGCAGGATCACAACCGATAGACCCTCCCCAGTTTACTCCAGTGACGATGGTTTATTTTTCTAATAACTGTTGTTTTAGGAAACTGTGGCTGTATCGTAATCTAAAATCTTTGTGATGTTGCTTGCTTAAAAGTGTACACCCGTTTAGAAAGCCGACTGTGACGAAGACACAAAACGCCTTCGGTGTATTAGACTATGTTTCAGACCAGCACACTTTCATTCCATCCAGCAGATTTATGCTTCTCTCTCTCTCTCTTTCTGTCTCTCAGCTGGTTGAAGATCTCTTCTTTAGGTAAAGTATCAGTAGTTATCGGAGTTATAATGTTACAGCCATACTTATGATGCTGTCTGTGTGTGTGACTGTGTGTGAGGGGGCGAAAGTTGCTCTCAAATGCGCCCTCCACGACGGGATGTGTGAAAACCACTTTGAATCGATTCCAATAGCATTATGCAAATATGTAAGATGTATGTATCCATGCAATTCTTTATCAGATTAATCCAAATGCTATTCTATTTAAAAAAAAATGTATGTCATACCTCTAAACAAATATCAGTGTTTATTTTCATAAGCTTTTTGTTTAACACAGCTAACATTCGTCCTGCTGCTTGGGGCATCCCAGCTGGCAGTTAGTCAAAGATAACTTGTGATCTCAGTGTATTTGCTGTGGTGCTGTAATCAGGTGTTTTACACGCTTCCTGTGGTCAAATGCGTACTGCTACATGGCTTACAGCCCACAATAAAATAACCGTAACCTCCGCGTACCTGTTGTAAATCATAGCGAGCCAGACGAGTTTGACCCAGTTGTGGAAATGAACTGTCGTTCTTTTCATGTTACTCAGGTTTAATTGGACTGGAAACACGTGTTCACTGTGTTTCCAGGAGGCTTTCTGTTCCAAGTCAACGATTGCATTATGAGAAATAATCTTCCGTAGTTCACTTTTAAAGCTACGGCTTGACGTGTGTTTGACAGAAAATGTATTTCATTCAGTTGAAGACGTTGCAGACTGTATCGCGCATTGAGAAAAGTGCTAGGATGTTTTCACCTTATTTAAATGAGACCACAATTACTTTAAATTTTCTTTATTTAAAATGAACCATTTACAAGGTTTTAATAGCTTTTGGGTTTTGTGAATGTTGGACTGCAAACAAGTGTCAGAATATTTGAAGTATGATTATTTTAAATGCATATTGGGTAATCTTGTGGGACTGAGAAAACATCTGCCACAATCCCCTCAGTGTATTAATAATGTAACTGACGTTGCATTTATTAAGCTAATTTATTTTAGCCCAGCTGTTTGTTTGTTTGTTTTTTTTTTTTTTTTATGAAGACTTGATGTGTAACGAAGCAAGCGTTGGAGAGGATCACTTTAGGTTTGTTTCCAATATCCTCCCCTGAACATTTATCCTCCAACTCTTAAGGCCCTAAACCTGCAGTCTGCCCCGGTTAGTTTTGTTTTGTGCATTTGCACTGCAACAGCTGTACTTTTAAATTACAAATGATGGTTTTTCCAACTATCTGCAGAGTAAAAAAAAAAAAAAAGGAAGAAAAAAACATTTAATTTTGGCAACTGAATAAATACACTTAAGGAAATTTATAAAATATTTGAAACTTTTTAGGGAACTCTGGTTGTTTTGTATCTTATTTTGTGTCAGAGATTTTCAATCTGTTATAGTTTAAGAAAGAAAAAAAAAGTTTAAACTGGCGACTGACATCTGATGCCAAGAGTGAAAATATTCAGCCAATCAGAAACGTGGTACTACTTTCCTCCGCCGAGGTTGATGTGGTAGATGTGATTCAAAAATAGTTAAAGGAAGATTATTAAAACTGAAACTCGCCTTTTAGATGTGTAGGGAACCATAAATTAATGTGAAAATTGTTTCACATTTTCATGCAAAAATATTTAAGAAACTTGAGACCTAGTCATGTAATCCATATGAATTGGGAACTTTAAAAACAATCTTCTAAAAATATATATATTTTTCTAAGTGGATATTACCAGAAAAAAAAATCTATTATCTTTAAAATCCCAGAATATTTTTTGTGAGAAATTACATTAAATTTGTTTTGTTTTTTGTCTCCAGGGATACTAATGCTCTGAATGAAGCTGTACAATGGGATGAAGGAAAAGAGTCGCATATGAAATGTTTTACTGATTCCATACCCAACCTTTTTTTTTCCAAGCCAATATCGATTGACAAGGGGAAGTTAAAATAATTATTTCAAGACAAGGGCGCCTACACTGAAGTCACATTTCAAAGAAAGTGTGTTAGTTTTGATAAATTATACAGTTAAATAAAAAGCTGTTATCTTAGAATCAACTTTTAAAAAACGAAAGAGGAATTGTATTATTTTGCACCATAAAATGTTTTTCTTTTCTTTTTTCTTTTTTTCTTTTTTTTTTGCATTTTGAGCCTATTTAGTCGTTCCACTCTGGCGTCAAACCTGGTATTTAATTCGCTGTAAGTTTGAGCCTCCTCCTGCCTCCATTGTTGAAAACTCCGTCTTGCGTATAATAAACTATAACTAACCTCAACTTGCTCGTTGTCTTTATTTTTTGCGTGTGTCGCGTTTTTCTCGCTCCCCTGCGTTATTTGCCACCTGTTGGAGAAGAAGAAAAGCGGCGGCGATGATGTGGGCTGGACGCTCTTCCACACCCATCAGACAAGAATACAGTTCCGGGTTTTTCCGCTCTCGGGGATTTTTTTTTTTTTTTTCTCTCAGAAGAGAGTTGTGGTTGCTCTGTCGCCGCTGTCACAACACGGCACGATGTCTCTTTTATTGGACAATCAATTTGCAGAACTTCCTGCAGACAAGTCTGTTGACACTAAGACGTTCTTGGACAATGTGTCGACCCTGCCTCCGTTTTTCGGTGAGTAAAGTCCCACCTGATCAACTAAAAGAACTCAGCAGGTGACTTTTATTCGAACGCCGGCCTGATCAGTTTCCGATAGGTTATTTCAATTACTTAACATTTGACTTTTATCTCGGTGCGATCGCTTTTTACGAGGAGATATTTCGATTTTACGCAACAGAAACGGCAGTAATGTCATGGGGAGGAAGTTAGATCTGTAACGGTGGGTTTATATAAAGAGAAACTGTTTAGACGCTGAACAGAGCGAACATTGACCCCATTGTGACTTTACTGAAACTATCCATTCAGTTTGTTTTTTCTTTTTTTTTCTCCACCTCTCCCTGAGCTCCCGTTCGCGTTCACTCTGCCCTCTCAGCTGGGCACATGCGCCGTGAAGTCATTCATATTTCATTGCTGCGCTCTCAAATGTCCGTTTCTCTTGCAGACTGCTTGGGATCAAAAGTGTTTTCAGTCATCAAATCTGACATTAATGGGAATATAACGGTGAGATCCAGGCACACTCTCAGCTCTTCTATGTATTTTCATAATACTGCTATACATTTAAATCGCCAGATGGGGCTTAATGGAGCACTTCCTTTTATGCAAACCTTGAACCAAATGTGCTTTTCTCTTCTCCTTAGAAAATTAGAGCAGTTTATGATCAGGATCCTGCAAAGTACGTCACCTTGCAGGACATTGTGGAAGCAGAGAGAGAAACCCACAAAGGACAATGGCCTAAAGTGGGAGCGACGTTGGCTTTGATGTGGCTCAAGAGGTGAGCTACTTTCTCTTCTGCCATGAAGTAAAAGTTTTTATTCCCCTTGAAATTTTCCTAACTTTGATGGACTTTATTTGGATTTCATAGGAACGGTTTTTCCTTAGAAAAATCTCAAAAGTGTGGCAGGCAGACCTTTGTATACAAGGCCCTTCAATCAGACACTCCACAGTAAAATACTGTGAAACAAATTGCTGTTTTACTGGGAAAGCTATTAGTCGTCCACTCTACAAATCCGGCAAAAGCCGTAAGAAGTTCAATTTGTACTTTTCTCCAGATTTAATACAATAAAGCAGATTTAATACAATAAAGCAGATTTAATACAATGTTATTTCTGGTCAGAATCTGAACTTTTGCACCTGCATGTGAAAGAGTACATGTATCATAAAACTAATTCTGCAGATAAGCATGAAGGTACCATGCCTGCCATAAAAAGTTATCAAGATGTGTCATGTTGTGGGGATGCTTTACTTTAGCAGGAAAAGAGTGCGCAGAATGTGTCACCCAGTTAAAGGATCAGGGTGCTAGGTGGGTTGGAAATTATGTTTGCACATAATTTCCAATTGTTGCATCTGCCTGGCCACTCAGATGCTCAGATGCATTGCCTAAAGAGTGGGATGTTTACTTCAACTATGAGATTGAAATTAAGATTTTTTTTGGATCCAAAGATAAATGTATTGCCTTCAATAATGAATGTAGCTGGTAAATTAACAACAGATGAGGAAAGATTCTTGGCTGTGTGTGAGACCCCCTTTGTTGGTTACTTTACTAGTACAAATTTACTTTGGCTGCATAACAAACTCAGAGTAATTTCCTCAGCGCGACCTGTTGTCAGTTGTTCCTGGGTGATCCTCAAACGAGCGTAAAGGAATTCACTAAGATGACAGAAACATGTAGTGAAGTCGAATAAAGTAAAAGTCGAATGAAAAATGGCTAGAGGCTGCAAAAATCTTCAGACTTGGGTAAAAGGTAAAAGTTCACCATGCAGCAGAACACCGATCCTAAGTGGCAGTAAGGGCTGACTCAGAGGCGATGAAGATAAATGCAGGTCACACTTTTCAGATTTTTGTTTGTAAAACAAATTAAACATTTATAACACTTGAGCACAACTTAGTGTTGATTTAATATAACACACTGACATTTATGGCTATAACATGACTAAAGAGACATGGATACATTATACTTTCAGCTCCCATAGATCATGCAGCAATAGATGGGTGTGCTTTCTGCTCCCTCCTGCAGGGGTCTCCGTTTCATACAGGTTTTGTTGCAGAGTTTGGCAGATGGAGACAGAGACGAGAACAACCCTAACCTCATTCAGGTCAATATCACCAAAGCCTATGAGCACGCTCTGAAGAAATACCACGGCTGGATTGTTCAAAAGATTTTTAGCGTAAGTAGAGGGTCAACGTGGAAGAAATGTCTCATTTGAAAACTGAAATGTTTTGTTGGTATTATGTTACTCTTGCACAATAATCTCCTGCATCCAGAATATCACCCTGGTTGGTTTTAATCTAAATGTTCATCAAATCCTAGTTATTTTGATAATTAGGATAAAATGCTGGTTTCTTTATGTTTAGTAAAGGCTTTTCTTCTGTCATATCGTTCAAAAGAGCAAAGCAACAATATTTCATAGGTCACCTCAATGAGACCTGGACAAGCAAAAACATTTTTCTACACCTTTTGGTGTGAGCGAGCGGTCATTAAATATTGAGGACAGAACAGAGGTAATGACACACCATGTGTGTAACAGAGTAGTGGTTCTTGTGGACGGTCTTCAGCAGCTTCGATTGGTGATGCAATTCTCCAAACAGATGACTCAACTTAGTCTCTAGAGGTGCGATGATAACGACAAGGTGATTCGAAACATTGTTTCACTTGATTTAAAAAAAAAAAAAGAATTAAAAATCAGATTGGCTCCCCAAAAGAAGCTTCATTCAATCACATACATATTGGCAAAGTGTCGGACCATGTATGAACTCAGAGTGGGGTTGTTTAGCCAGCAGTGCTTAGAAACAGGGTACAATCTAAACCCTGTGGGAGTTTAACTATTCCGCCCAGGTACAATACTGAAGTTTGACCACGAGTTGGCGTCATGTTTACCTAAAACATTTCAACACAATTGTCTCTCACTGATTCAGTGGTTCAGAAAGCTTTGGTTTTGCCATCCCTGAAACAGCTGTGTGTGTGTATGTGTGTGTGTGTGTGCGCGTGCGTGTGTGTGTATTCCAAAGAGAAATTGGATGTTTTCCCAAACGCTGAGGTTTCCAAATGACTGCCGACATTTCATCTCCATATTGGAGGACCAAAAGGACAAAACCTTTCCTGCACTCCGTTTAGCCTTTCTAGTATCTGCTGAAAGTCTCACTCTTTCTCGCTCTCAGGCAGCCTGACTGAACCGCAGGAATGTCTCGACATTCTACCTTTTGTTTGTGTACACATCTGTTTTGTCTGATTTCATTTTAAGCTCCAACTAATGCTAAAAAAGCATTTAACTTCTTCTTACCTCAGCAGTAGCTTCCACACCAAAAGCTGTTGCTGTTGCCGCAACCTGCAGGTGCTTTGTATGAATCATTCGCCCATCACAAAAAGATAACATTTTTGAGATTCCAAGCTGCAGAGAAAGCTGAAAACTGGACATGTTGTGTGCAAAGGACTCTTTTATTATTTAATTTTATACTGTGAAGTTGCGTTAGGTTAGAAAAATTCTTTTCTCTTTTTGTTTCCTTGCGATATTATGCAGACTATCATGTGACTTTTGAGTTGACACAGCATTACACTAACTAGTGGTTTCACTTTTCCTCTCGGTTTCTCTGTGTGTGTCCTTCAGGCAGCACTATTTGCAGCTCCCTACAGATCAAACTTCCTCAAGGCCCTGTCAAAGGGACAAGAAGTTAAAGACGAGGACTGTCTGGCAAACGTCCGTCTCTTCCTGGTAAATTACACGCCCACCGTAGATGCCATCTACGAGATGTACTCAAACCTAAACGCAGAGCTGGACTACACAGTTTGATGTCTGAGGATGAAGCTGGGCTTGAGGATCAGGAGCGACCCACGACTCCTTCAGGGCGTAACTCGAGTCCAGTTTTTAAAGGTTATTACAAAGGAATGTTTTGCATCTTTTTTTGTTCTATTTATTACTCTGATTAAACCTTGCTTAATATATTTTATGTATAATTGGTGTTATGGATATGCCCATTCCCTAAATTGGACGAAAAAGTTAAAAATGCTTTTTTGAAGGATTACTAAAGTTAACTTTATGTTATCCTATAGTCAGGATGTTGTAACAGTTGGTTTTTGCTGCTTTATTTATGAGATCACTGTGTGCCTTTCATCTCTTTTAATGTCACCAAAGAAACTCAATCATCAAAGAAACATTCCTTTCATCTTTGCAGGTGTAAACCTTTATTTTCTGAGCCCTTCCGCTAACCAACGCTTTGTTTTGACTGAGTAAGGGTTGAATATTTTTCATTTTGATTTTTTTTTTAACCAGTGATGTTTCACATTTTACATCCTTCCTGTGAAGATAATGTGAATCTTTTTTTTTTTGCAGCGTCCCTTTTCGTTGCCTTCATTGTCTTGTGTGACTTGTTTCTAATTATCATGCGTGGCAGAGTGTCTGAATGAAATCATCATGTCATATGTGCATGTATTAATAGATCATTTCTGATTGAATACGCTGACAATAAATAAAACATTTCTGATAAATCATCTGCCTCGGAAACAAAATGTTTTTTAATGAGATGGTAGTTTAACCATCGTACACTAGATGGTGGTATCCACCTATTTAATCCTCAAGTTTGTTCTCCTATTTATGTATGTTATATTTATATAACATTATAATTTATTTCTCTGATCTGTTTCTGGAAATGGTTACTTTTTTCCTCTTTGTTTTTAAGAAGATATACATATTTTGATGATGCATGCAAAAAGAAAAAATTCAATACACTGAATTTTATTAAGGGACAATCTGTATTCCACATGTAGCCTAATCCTCTTAACAAGCCATGCTTTTCCTCGGCCCACTCTTATTTATCTGAAGTGTGTTCCAGAGGTCGGGGAGGCTCTGGTTCCTCTCCCACAGGAGCCTGAGCTAATCGTCTCTGAGCAAGAGGAACATGTCCGGTTTATCAGCAGCCTTGCACAGCAGAATGGAAAAAAAAACTTCCCAGCGAAGCTGTGATACAACAAAATAGGCACTGCAGTTCATTGAACAATGCTCCAGCGACGGTTGCCGACTTTAAACTAAACATATTTCTCTAAAATGAGGTCATCTGTTGGCGTTGAAGTTTTTGCTGCTAATGCCCCCATTCATGCAGACTGTATAATTAGCTTTTTAGCAGGCTACTTAAAGTGTCTTCACGTTTCGTTTCCATGATGATCTAAGCTGCATCAGTGTTGCAGCGTGCTATTTAGGAAGACAGACGAAGTAAAAGGGGGTACATCCAGTCACATTTAATTCTGGTAATTTGAAAGAGACGTTAAAGGTCTTTCTTTATTATTATTGTAAACAGTATTTTTGAAAGTCAAATTATTATTCATGTTTCATGTAGAATGATGGAATAAATTGTTGGGAAAATAAAAAGCTTATCGAACCATCACTAGAAACAACAGTCAGTCCTGCAGGATAATTACTTGATATTCACAAATGGACGGAAATTTAACACAACTTTACAAATAGCTTTTCTCTGATGGAGAATGGCTCATTTATAAAAGTGTAGCTCCTTTAAATGTTAAGAACTTGCATCACTAAAAGGTATTTACAAAATAAGCAATGCAGTACACTAAACTCAGGAGTAAAGCTCTAAATCCTTCTGTAAGAAACTAAACAAACTATCATTTAATGTAGAGGATGTATAAATGTCACAAAATAATACTTGTTGGGTTTTTAAAAAATTTATTTACTTGACAATCCTTATTAAGAAGAGACAAAAAAAAGTGTTTGATTAGGGTCATACATTTCAAAAAGTTATTTCATCAACATAATTTATGGAGATAACTCATGTGTCCATGTATAATAATTGCACTTTATAATTATAAAGACAGTTTGCCACGTAACCCACCAAGTTGACAGAAATAAATAGTCTCGGAGAACCATTGCAGACATATCAAGTGCTGCTCACTCACACATTGCAAACCATTAGAGATAATATAGCCCTGCAAAGAACAAGACAGTAAATGAGTCAGGCAGCCTACTCTCAAAAAACAGCTATTCATTATGAGAAACAGTCACACAATCTTCAAGAGTTGGAGGAGGGGAGGAAAAAGTTCACTCGACAGATTTACCTTTAAGAATGCTCAAAAAAAATATCCCCGAAGGGTGCATCTCGCTTGGCCTGAATGCAACAGTGTTCATCTGACAGTCAAGATCAACTGAGCTGAGAAGTGAAACAATTTATTTTAAACGTTAAATAACAAAACTCTGTGTTCATGAGCAACATCTTCTCGTATAAGCTTTAGGAGTTGCTTCATGTTGATAGAGAATACTTTGTTATGACTAGACTTGGCTTAAAGTCAGGACAGACAAAAAGTTTACCGGTGATCCAACTCTAACGAGAGAGGTACAAATACACAACTGCGTTACTAAACTCTTTAAGAGATCCTGCGATTACATCCTTTTTGATTGATACCCCTGATTATTTTTGATCCACTTCCGTTTTGTAAAAGGTCGACGACTGCAAATACAAAATGTACGATTAACGGACGAAATCCAAATGCGATCAAGTGCTCAGCTTCAGTGTTTTAAATCGACAGTAGTCAAAAATAAAAGGATCTGTAGCGTAAACCTGCATCGTGACTCCTGATTATTATTTACTCCCGTTTTCCAAAGTGTTTAATGCACAGCCTTCTACAAATACATGCACAAACTAAAAAGGCATGTGTATTTCACGAACGTTCGAAACTCGCGCGTCCCAGAGCGGCGCCTCATCTGTAGACGGGGAGCTGCATGTGCTGCTGCTGGTGTTCCAGCAGCGGAAGCATCCCCCCCATGGCTTCGTACCCACGGCCCAGCATGCACTCTTTGATGCAGGGAGGCTGAATCTCACTGATGAGGCACTCCAGAGACTGCAGGCTGCTGCTGAGTACCGCGGCGTGGCACAGGCTGAAGCTGGGCAGCCCGCAGGAGAGGTTCTGCTCCGTGCTGTAGGCCTGGGTTTGATGGTGATGAAGATGAGGGTGGTGCTGATTAGGATGATGTGGATGGAGCTGGGCTTGGTTTGGCTGATGGCAGCTTGCTTGGAGATGAGGATGGGCGATCCCTACATGTCTAGGCCTGGATGCGCACGTATTTGTTCCCAACACCTGAGAGGAATACCCGTCGGTGCCCGGGTTGTCCCAGAGAGGAGCGAAGTACTGTCCCGCTGTCCGCTCTTTCTGCACGGCGGCTCCCACGCTCCCGAGGCGCTGCCCGTAAGGCAGCTGGGAGGAGCAGGGCAGAGGGTGGCAGCTTTCGGGAGAGCCCACCCCGGCCTCTGCTGCTCTGCAGCTCTGAGTGCCGTTACTCACGCCGTACATCCTCACCGCCTCCTGCTGATAGGGCTGCATTGGGGCTTTGTGCTGCCACACGGCGTAGTCGCCCCTCTCTAGGTATCCGGTTTTGGCTGTGTCTGAACTCTGCGTAGGCAGCACTGCTCCTGCGAAGACTCGACTACTCTGGGGCGGTACTCCAAAGACAAAGTTTGATTCCGGATGTGCCACTGCCGCCACAGCCTGCAGCGAGGGGCTGGCCCGAGCCTCTCCCCCCATCTGCTGGGCCTGGCTGTGGGGAACTCTGCTCATCCGCCTCATCAGGCTTTGAACCTCTGCCAGCTCTGACTGGGAGGCCAGGCTCTGATCTCTGGAGACCATTCCTGCAGCAGAACAAAGTGCTTCAATGGGTACATCAGGGGGCTTATATGAACCTGCGTTATAGGCTTCATGCCTGTGTCTGACTGTGCAGCTATCATTCAGAGGGTTATTGTACGGTGCCACAGAAGTCTGAGAGTTCAAGTGTTTAGTCCTCTTGCCCTCAGAGCCTTTCAGAACGCCCTTCACCATGGAGGCTTTGACGATTGCCAGCAAGCCCTGGTAGCCTCCTGAGTGTGGGTGGTGGTAGGGGCTGTAGCGCTGACCGGTGGTGTCCAAGCCATTCACAGTTTTGTTGAGCTGCTTGTGCTGTGGCACCCGTACATCGGATGGAAAGATTTTGATGGAGAGCGGGTTGTTGGCAGTCTTCTGGGCAAAAGCGTCCAACTCTGCAGGAGATGGGTACCGAGAAATCATGGACCCGGTCTCTGCTGCAAAACAGGCAGACAGGAAGAGGTGATTAGAAGCCAGGCAGCCCAGAGGAGACTTATTCTGTCACTTTTTCATTATTCTGCAGTCTCAAATCTGCCATAGGGGATAATTGCATATATAAAGTGCAGCTACTAACTGAAGCGCCTTTGGCACATGCTTTAAACTGAACTTAATGATATTAATTTAGACTTGGTATATCCCCAATAATTAGTTTGGCAAAAGATGTAAAAAATCTTAAAGAAAAAAAACAGGAGGATAATAGATTTTCTAATCCACATTTTTTTTTTAAATAACTCACTAAGAGACTAAGAGAAAGCACTGCTATGGTTAAAGTGCTCAATGTTCTTGTAAAAGTGAAGGATTTAACTCATTATTCTCAATCTGTGGTACAAGTACAGCTGGCGGTACTTGTGCTGCTTTCAGATGAAACCTTAGTATTTACTAATAAAAAGGTAAATATGAAGCAAATAAGCTGCAATGTTGAGCCAGTAAGCACAAACAGCCAACAGGATCATTTTAGACCCAGCAATTTACGCACATTGATCTCTGCTTCAAACAGATACTCCTCAGATGGGAGGTGCGATGGAGAATGGCTCAAAACCACATCCAATAAATGAACCAAGAACAAGCACTGGCAGCTATTGCTAGTGTGTTTCATTTACCTCTGAAGGTGGAAGTTGAATCTGAGAACAAACATCTATTAGAGCTGCAGTTAAAAGAACAGAAGGGTTAAAAGAACTGAGGCTTATTGCTGCTACTAATACCAGCTAATTGAAAAGCCTCTGCAATTTAGGAATTGAAATACAAGAAGGAACACATTCACCAACAGAGGTTCCATGTATTAATGTGTGGGAAGGATTTAATAAGATTCAAACTATCAGAAGTGCAAAAAAAAAAACAACAACAAAAAAAAACTGTTTATTACTGCAGTTGTTGTTATGTTGTTACCCAAAATCTGGGTTTCCAAATTTACATTACTTCCTGTTTATTGTAGAGTTATGTTCAAGAAATGCTTAAAATGCAGCAAATAGAAATGCTTATCATTGTTCAAACTAAGATATTTTAGAAAAGTCCTCATTTTTTTAATCATCAATGTGTACTCAGATGAATGAGGTCATTCTAAGATGTAAAAACTGCAGTAACCTTTATAAAAAATATGTTTTTTACAGACAATCTGTGAAAACAAATTGTGTTCCTCTGCTTCCTCCCTGTGGTTCTATTTGTGGTCTCGCGCTGTTAATTATGCTTGTGTACATGCTGCTCATACGTTCCCCTTTGCTCTCAGATAGATTACAGCTAGTTCTTCAAAACAGGATGCTGAGGTTGGTAGCATGGCCATTAATCACTACAAACTGTTTTTCTGTAAAGGTAAGTTGATTCTCTGCTAATTGCACACTGAACAGCACATATACAGGCGTGATTGACAGCACTGA